TGGGGCTGGGGGGTCAGTGTGGGACTGCTAACCACAGATCAGCCGTCCAACCTACCGGCTGCCCCCAGGAGAAGGATGAGGCTGTACGTTCCTGGACAGGACCCTTATGTAGGGTTGCTACGAGTTGGAATCAACTCGATGCCCGGGGTGGTAGTGGTTTGGGGTCTTTGGGATTGTTGGTATATCAGCAGTGAACAACGCTTCCAGTCTACATTGCAAAATTTTACAATAGGGATTTGCACTTCAGTGAAATGGATTCTATCATGCAATTTGTAGAATTGGTTTTTCCTCTCTGAGAGATGAAATAAGACTGTGTCTTGCGGGAAGGGAGAAGGTGGAGTGGGGCGGGCGGGTACCAGAAGGAGAAGGACAGAGAAAAGAGGGGGATTCAATGAAACATGAGGGAGGTGGAGAAACCTCGATATGACAGGGAGAGGATGAACACACATCAAGTGTGACTTCATCATGAACTCTTCAGTTGAGAACGAACTGCGGTTTAGTAGTCCTAGGAACTTGTAAGACTCCTGGACAGGAGAGGTGATCGAATAGGCTGTTCTCGACTAGGCTGTTGTAACAAATAATCCCCAGTCTCCATGGCTTCCCCCAACAAATGCTATTTGGGTTCACATTACAGATAGCTGTAGGGTGGCTGACGCTGGCTGTACTCCAGGTCACTCTTGCCCAAGGACTCAGGCTAGCAGTCCCCCCAGGAACTTTGCCAGTTACCACACCAACCAACCAGCTACTTCCAACGAGTTGATTCTGACTCATAGGGACCCTGAATAGGGTTTCTGAGGCTGTGGATCTTTACAGGAACAGCTAGCCTCATCTTTCTCCAATGCTACCCGGAAGCACCTTCATCATTCGCCACTGTGATAGGTTTATTGTGCCAACTAGGCCAATAGGAACATGTGGGCAGAGTTTAATCAAGTCGCAGCTTGATTGAAGGGTGACTGAGATAAATAAAGATGGCCAGCATCCCATCTCTCTCTTGCTCCCTGGTGATAGGACTAGCATGATGCTGCTTGAGCTAATTCTTTGCCTCTATACTGCTGTGTGGACTAATCTCATTAATTTCACTGTATAAATCTCTCTATATAGGCATATATATACATACGTGTCCTTGTTTTGTTTCTCTAGAGAACCCTGCCTAACACAGTCATGATAACAGAGGGCAAAGAAAGATAAAGGAAAGAGTGCACTAGCTCTTGAAGTTCAACTTAGTTGTAACACTGGTCATTTGGACTCACAGTTAACCGACCAGGATATGATCACATTGAACTCTAAGGGACAGGAGAGTACCTTTTGACCATGTGTTCCCAAAAGGACTAGAAAAGCAGGGGGAACAGCGTGAAGGACCGTCACAGTAGAAGACAGACACCTGCTCGTTGTATGACGACACTAAATGAGAGCAACTTCGCTCACCAGGATGAAACCGAAGAGGGCCATCATTATTTTCTCCGAGCTCACATCGGCAGACCTTCCATCCAGGCTTGTCTGTATTTGCGTCAAAACTTCCTAGAAAGAATCAAGTGACACAAATGCCTCTGAAAATGGGGAGGGAAAGTTGAAGATTTCAATTTTCACTTTATACTCCTGTGTAACCTTTGTAAATTTCATTTGTAATGACATTCGTAGATGACATTAATTTGGGTCCCTCTCTAAGAACTCAGAAGGTGGCAGGGGAAATGGCTACAAAGAAATTTAAAGAAGTGAGTTTGTGTATGTGACTCTGAGAGGAACCAAACATGGCTGGTGAACTTGACCCAAGGTGAGGGGGCGGTGCCCTGTTCCCCCCGGAGCCCAGCCCACATCTGCCACAGGTATGTCGTAGTACTTGTTGCCTCTCTGAATCAAAGAGTGAAGACTCTTCTTATCAGTCCTTGTTCTTGGCAGGGAATTCTTTTCAGTTCATTGGCCAGGACCATGAGAATTATTTCATCTCTGATAATATAAAGAATGATCTCTGGACACCATCACCATGACTTAGAGTAAGAGAGTCAGGGTACACAGACCCTACGAAATCTCAGACTTCCAGCTGGAATCTCATCCCCACTACCATCCTGGGGGTAGGGGAGGGGCCTGGGCAGGACAAGGCCTCAGGGAGGTGCTGGAGACAATCGCTGTAACTAGCCTTGCCTGGGGGTTCTTCTCCGCCATCAAGACAGGACTTGTAGCCTGCTTTGCCTTCGGTGGCAGTTGGCCCCGAGAAAGGTGGGGAGACTGAGTCACAAAGTGAGACAGAGCCTAACTGAGGTACATCACTCATGGCCAAATTGGTTTCAGCCCCTCGCTACGGCTTCCCCACTTCTGCTTTCTATCTCCAGATAGGCATCTACTGGCAGGTGAAGGATGATGGCACTGAATGTGCCCCGAACACCTCCCCTTCTTATATCAAGCAGCCATCGAAGCTAGGCATTAACTAAGTTCATATAGAAGAAACCCACCAGGCTGTGTGATCCAAGGATGATAAATAATAAAATCCAAAGGAGAGAATGGTATCAGCTTTAAGTGTGAGCAGCCAACTTGCAGAAGGCTATGGATGACAGTGGGAGCCCAAAACCCATTGTCAGGGTCCCCTCTGACCAGAGTCGAGGACTGTGAATAACCTTGTTACCAGACAGAGATTATTGTGAACTCAATTATGGCAGATGGAATTAGGCTAAAATGTGGTGTCTGGTCATTGGATCTTCCTTTGACCCATTTTGGATTTGTTTTAGTTTTCAATTTGTTTACTTTTCAATTTAGGGTTTCTCAACAGAGGTGTTATTCTCTGGTTTATTTTAATATTGTTGGTGGTATATTTTTAAACTATATTTGCTTTTTGGGGTCTTGGGTATGTTTTCCAGTATATGAAGCACAAAGTGGGTGGATGTGTAGAAACGATAACTGGTGTAATGGTTTATTGAGTATATGGGGTAAAGGAATATTGGAGGAAAATGAAAAATAATGACCAGAAAAAGTGGTATGGATGCAGAATGTTTGGAATACATTGTGATGATGTACATACAACTCTTTTTAATATAACTGAATGAATAGAAGTATAATATACATGAATTGTATCTCAATACAACTTTATTGATCAGAAAGGAGTCCAGCACAGCACCACAGTGAGACTTACAAGATGAAGAAGCTTAACTAAGAACTAAGCCCCACGCTCACCAAACCCACAGCCCAGGAGGGGAATTAGAAACACAGTCAAACACCAGACAAGGCACAGTTTGGTGGGAGTAGAAAGGCGAAAAGGATACAGTTCTGCTAGATGGATCCAGACACCTTTCCTTGTGAACTTCTCAACCTGATCCGTGGCCACCATTGACAAAGAGGTGGCTAGAACTAGCCTCGCTCATATTTTTCTTATCTCCAAAGCAGAATGTGTGGTTTGGAGTAGAAACATGTCAGACTTTTCCTTCCTGGCAACTTCACCATCAGAGCAGAATGAGAAAGCCTTTATGGGTCAGAAGCAAGTTCATGGATCAGAAGCACTGCATCCGTGGTAGCCCTTTTCCTCCTGTGCGCTCACTGAGGGAACCACACCACCTGCAGTCTGTCCGAGTCCACTTTTCAGGGGCAGAAATGCTCAGCAACATCCTGCACCCAGTCCCTTCTCTAATCACTGTCCCTGAGTGCACTTGGGAGCCGGTTCCTAGCCTGTCTGCCCCTGGGCACTGTGGTGATTCTTTCCCATGTCACATTCTCACCTGGGCAGCCACGTATCTCTGCTCCCTTGTCTCTGTGCAGCCCATGAGCTTCCTGGGTCTGCTCTCTCGCTGTCATTCTTTTTACCCAAAGCCATTAAGCATTCCTTCCCAGAGACACATTTTTTTGCATCTTTCCTTGTTCCATCCAGTTGGCGACCATAAACCGTCATTGAAGCTTCACGTCTTCCTGTACGGGAAGGCATGGCAAAGCCCAATCTTTTCTAGTGGCAAGAAATAGAAACCCATTCTAACTCACTCTAGCCAACCTGGGAATTTATTGTGTGGTCTCAGTTGTGCGAGATGGTCAAACAGCAGGAAGGATGGCCAAATGGCAGGTGGACCACAGGTAGGCACAGACCAGAACTGGAGAACAGTCCAGGATGAAGGCTGCTACCCTCTCAGAATCTCCCCTATAACTCTTTGGTGCCATATAGTTTCTCAATACCATCTCACTGTGATTCTTCTTCCATTCTTCTCTACTAAGTGATCTGCCCATTTGGCTGCAATTGCCAAATTATAAGTTCCTAAGATTTACAGTTCCTCAAGCCATTAAACCATTAGAAGCAGAATTGTTAGTGGTCATAAAGTTGGTTCCGACTCATAGCAACCCTATGTACAACAGGACAGAAAACTACCTGGTTTTATGTCGCGCACACCATCATTGCTATGTTTGAATCCATTGTTGGCACCAGTATGTCAATCTATCTCATCAAGGGTCTTTCTCTGTCTTGCCGGATCCCAGGATTCTAATTCCAAAATCTCAAAAGACAGCGTGGTGTCCACTTGGGTTACAAATGGCCGTATCCCAAAGAGGCAGCCACTGAAGGAGCAGTTCTTAGAGAAGGAAGTGTTGTGTTGGGTGAATAACTCAAAAGTGCTTGACCACACCATTGTGGCACTTAAGGAGTTTATTACAATGATGTATAATCAACTAAGAAAGACCTGCCATGGCTACTTTTGTGAGAATAGAGATGTTTGCAGCAAAGAGGTCAGTGCAGAGCCAATTCAGTTCTTCAGTGAGCATGTCTCGTGGTTGGAGCCACTTCCAGGAGCAATTGAAGATGCAGGGTAGCCATCTGCAAACACTTGGGCTGGCACTGGAAATAAATAAATAGGAAATATGCCAGGAAGCCACTGAGCAGGAACAGGAAGAGGTAAAAGAACTCCATCTGGGGATGGTCAATGATGGGCACCAGCACCAAGAAGATAGAAGCCAGGAGCATAATGACCGGGATGAAGGTGGGAACCTGCAGGGAGCACAGAACAAGCATATATTTGGCCCTGGGACCTAGATAGCATGGGGGAGCATGAATCTTGGGGTATGCCTGCTGCCTGCTGCTTCCACTTGACACAAACTGGTGTCTTCCCATCCCAGTCCAGGATACCTTGCCTACCCCACCTGCTGAGCTAAAGGGGCACTCCAGGGAGCAGAGGTGTAGGACCGAACATGATTCTATGTGAACCCAACCTTGCCCACCTGTCTCATGCTCTGCATCTGCCTCCTGTTGTTTTACCTCAGGGTACTTCCCGCCCCATCCACCCCCCCACCACCACCCCCACCCCCCCCCCAGGAGAAACTGGTCCTAGCCAGCAGGGTGAATGCCTGGTGATTCAGCTGTCCCTCACTTCCCCAAGTCTTGTTCTTACAAAAGAGGCTGTCATCTAGCAAATCATGCCACCCCTTGTTTTAGAAAAGTACAGAAATTCGGTACCAAACATAATGAGATTGGCAAACTCTTCTATTTTCCTTTGGAGTCCTGACCTGCCTTGGGAGTGGAGAAGACCAATGCCCATCCTAAAGTCTACCTTGTAGGATCTTGGAAGATGCTTCTCCTTCACTCGCAAGTAAAGGAGGCAGCTAATGGTGGTTCCATAGATGATCCAGGCTATGAGGCTGAAAGAGAAACATCAGCTGATCATGACCAGACCTTGCCATGGGTGGGCCCACAAGAGGGGCTGAACCTACTGAGTCCAAGCCCTTTACCCTGATGAACTAAAGAGCAAAGGAGGCCAGATTGGAGCACCGGAAAAAAATAATGCACTGTAGGGAGGGTCAACATTAACCCATTCCTGCCAGGGTTCTCTGTGGGCACAAAGTGGCACTCTCACAAGCCCAGTCCCTGAGAGGCCCTGCAGATCAGGCTTTCTGGCTGCCCTGGATGGGCAATGTTCAAAGAGAGGGAGGAGCAGTTTGTTTCTCAAGAAGGAGAGAGGATCACATTAGCTAGTGAGCTCTCAGGGAAGTGGATGCTTCCCCCAGAGCTGAACATCCATCCTGCACACAGTAGTTTTCCTGAAGGCTGATAACTTGGCGTGGCTCAGTGAACACCCAGACCAACCCCTTGTCTGTGCTTTCCCCAGTATCTGCATTTCCCAAGATGACGTGAATATAATGGAAATTCCATGCAACCTCAGAGGCAGGGCTCAGAACGAGGCCATCCCTTGAGGCCGTCAAGGCTGGAAGATGCCTGGTCCTTGTTGGAATAGATCATTCTAGAGTTCTCCCTCTGTGCTTGAAGACTCACAGTCACATTAGACCAGCTGTTCTCAACCTGCAGGTCACGACCCCTTTGGGGGTCAAATGACCCTTGCACAAGGGTCACCTAAGACCATCAGAAAACATAAATATTTCACAATATATAATTACATATTGTTTTGTGATTAATCACTATGCTTTAATTATGTTTGATTATGTTCCATTTGCAACCATGAAAATACATCCTGCATATCAGATATTTACATGACGATTCATAACAGTAGCAAAATGATAGTTGTGAAGTAGCAACGAAAATAATTTTGTGGTTGGAGGTCACCACAACACAAGGAACTGTATGAAAGGGTCGTGGCATGAAGAAGGTTGAGAACCACTGCTTTAAATCGTTTCAGCCTGAAGACAGTTAACACCCAACACTCACCATTGATTTGATTTATTCTCCCTCTATAATGACTCATCCTAGGATGATTTTCTTTCTCATGGGAAGGGGAAAAAAAAGATAAAAAGAGCAGACCACGTCTGTTCCCTACGGTTCTGAAGGAAATCACACTGAGAGCCGTTCCAGTCCTGGAAGATTAGTTATACTTATTGCAACAAAGGGAGGAACACGTGAGATGTTTTTTTAAATTACTCTTGAGAACTCCATCTGCAGCCAGACATGCTGCCTGCCCAGCGGTACAGATCAGCCCACTGAACCTGCTGCTAATGAAGTTGCATGATGGTAACTGGGTGCCCCAGGGAAGGTCAGAAAGCCGGTCAGAACACCAGTTCCCTTTGATGCAGGGACTGGCTGTGCCTCAAGCCTGACTGTGGGGCGGCCCCTCAGGCTCAGACCCCACATGAAAAGATCATCATTTAGCCAAGGATGACAAGTGGTGTGGACCATCCCCGAATGAGTCTGAACATTATCCTGGAGACAGAATAAGGGAATGATGCCCTCACCACCACCACCCCCACAAAAGTGACAAGAATAGCCCAAGCTCCATCCTCCTCCTCCTCCTGATGTCCTGCAGCATCTGTCTTGTTCTTGACAAAATGGTCGTCGAGGGAGGAGTCACATCTTGTTTGGGAAACGTGGTGGGAAAGGACAGCTGACCTGCCCGTGCAGGTATGAGGGTGACACGCCCGGGCTTCCAAGAGTGTGCACGTGTCTGTCTGTATGTTTACATCCGAGACTCCAAATACCTGGCCTTGAAGCACAGACTCACTTGCCTCAACAAGTTCACAATGGCGCTGAAGCTCCCTTGGATGATCAGGATCAAGGCCACTGCCGTGGTGAACATCAGGGCTGGGGCGGGGGTGAGGTGATGCGCATGAACCATGGACAGAAGGCTGGGCTGGGAGGAAGAAGAGGGCAGGAGACAGGCCCCAAGGAGAGGAGTGGTGAGTATTGGCCCAGGGAGGCGCCTAGCTCCCCACCTCCCCTGGTGCGTTCTGGTCCCCGGTGTGCTCAATCTCACTGTCAACAGTCACTCTAGCTTCCAGAGGTAGGTCTCTGTGGTTCACCTCTGGGTGATCAGTCCCAAAACATGGATTGGGAGAGGGTTCCAAAGCTTTCTGCCTCCAGGCCAGCCAACAGCCTTGGATATGGAACTGGATATGGGGAGCTTTAGCAGATGCCTGCCCGGGTCTTTCGACTTTTTCTTCCTCCCCATCTTACCCCAAACTGGAAGAGGGACAGGTAGGGGAAGAAAAGAGTTTGGGTAGCTGTGGGTGGCTCATAGGAATTCTGGGTGATTGTTATATACTGTGTCATTCTTTGTGTTATTATCTTATTCTTTGTATTATTCTTCTACAAATATTTAAAATCCCTCTCTTAAACTCTGTGGGAGAACTATAGCTTGCCATCCTCTGGTGTTGACCTTGGCCATGTCACTTACTTTGGCCAATGGCATGTGAGCAGGAATGGCATTAGAAGAGGCTCGCATACCTGGTCCCCTGTGTCCCTGACACCTGCTATAGGTTAAAATGCCCCAGCTTGCCTCTACTGCATTATCCTAGGGCTCTGGGATAGGAACAAACGCCGAATCTGAGATGGCAAAACAACTTCCAGTCTGAAGTTGAGCCATAGCTGGCCAATTCAATTCGTGAGCCTGTTTGATATAAGCCACTGAGAATCTGGGACTGGCGATTATTTAACATTATTAAAGCAAAAGCTAGTAGAGTGTCAGAGACAGCCTTGGGAAAGAAGGCCCAGAGGGTATACACCAACAACCTCCCACCACTCCTCCCCGCCATTCTTGCATGGGTGCTGGAGACAAACACCCGGATCACCCACAAAACCACATTGAGACCCAGTTCTGTGCTCTTCCAAAAACCTAGTTGTAAAAGGACTAGAGTTTGGGGGTGAGGTGTACGAAACAGCTGAATATCTTTCCAAAGGACAGAGGGATTCAGCTTATGGGGAAAGTTCTGGTTTGGCTTCAATGCTAGACTTTGGATGGGAGAAGACTTGGCTTCTTGGTCCTTCCAGCACCCTTCCTATGACTAACTTGTCCCATTCCAGAGGCCAATTCTTACCATGTGACCTTCTCTTCCAGCCACATAGCATATACGGCTTCCACTGAAGAACGCCCCATTTGCAGAGCCGAATCCTGAGAGTACAACAGCCACAGGCACCAGCCAGCCCCAGGCCCCCAGCACTTGCTTTCTAGGACCACACAGAGATCAGTCAATGCAAAGAAATACAGCAGTAGCTTGGAAGGCTGAGAGGTTGCATTAAGAAATGGAGCAAGCAATTCAAATTTAGATAAACATTCCACATCATCAATGATCCCCCCTCCCCCCTCTCCTTAGAATGTTATCTCTGAGTGCGTGCAGTGCACCTGGTAGTGCCCAGACAGCCTATCTGCCCAGAGGCCAAAGTTCATTTATCCAAGAAGTCTTTCTCAAAGCACAATTTCCTATCACATACAGTCAGGCTTCTGTTGGCTATCCAGTCTGGCTCTTGGAACTCGGGCAAGACTTTCCCTGATCGTCTCTGATTTGGCCTGTATTTCTCTGATGCTCTATGTCCTGTGTCCAGCATCATCTCTTGTGACCCCAGCCCTTGCCTGGAGCACCTGACAATGCAGATGGCATCTTGCTTTCCTGCCCTTCCCCCTTCTTAGACTCTTCCAGAAGCACTTCTGTGATCTGTCACCTATGCTGTGTTTGACCCCTGCAGGTGCCATTATATTCCGTTCTCTTTGCCCTCATGCCATCCCTCCTAGCCTTTCTCCCTATCCCATCCTCGGTCTTTTCTGTCTTCGTCTGTATCTGAGATCTCCTCCCATCAATGCCCCCTTTCCCTTCCTGAGCTTCCCTGCTCAGAGTTGACCTCAGGCTTTGGTTCTATGGTCATCACATGGTCCCTCCCCACTGTTGACTCCCACTCAATTCCGACCCCCATCCTTCCTCATTACCTGATTTCCTCAGCTTGGTTTCCAGAGTCCTTCGGGGTAGTCCCTAGATCCTTCTCCCGAATCCCCAAGTGCACTTCTTTTTGCAAATAAGCCACTGGCTTCATCTACTTCTCACCCTCCACCCAGTCCCACCATTGTGCTCTTCCTCCGGATTGGGAGTGCTCCACCATCTCTCAGCCAGCCTACTGTTACTGAATTATTGAAACATGCCTCCACCTCTTCTAAGAAGTCCAGGTGGTCTGGTGCAGCCTTCACATCACTGAACCTCCAGGGCATTTAAGCCTAAAGCACATCATTTCCCCGAGACAGGGCCAACATGGCTATTTCTTCCAGTAACCTATGAGTTCTTCAAGAGGAGAGGTCACACCCATGGATCAGCCTCCCCGAGCAGCTTGGCCCAGCATGAGACCAACAAGAATAGTTCTAGAGCTCAGTACTGAAACATAGAAGTGACCATCACAGAGCTGAGCACACAGTAGTGGTGATCCCAGGCCAACACCCAAGGAGGTGCTTGGGGAGGATTTCAAAGGTTTAGTCAAGAACAGGTCAAGTGAATCCTGATCTCTGAAAAATTTGCCCTGAGAGGCCAAATAAGTAAGGGAAAGGATGGTCTAGACCAGCGGTTCTCAATCTGTGGGTCACGACCCCTTTGGGGGTCGAATGACCCTTTCACAGGGGTCACCTAAGACCATATTTCCCATGGTCATAGGAACCGAGACACCATTCCTCTATCCATTTCCAGGCAGGTGCATCCACATGCAAATACGCCCACATACAGGGTCACCACCACATGAGGAACTGTATTAAAAGTTCACGGCATTAGGAAGGTTGAGAACGACTGGTCTAGACTCTAGACCCAGGATCTAGGGGTTTGAGCAGCACTACAGGGAGACCCCATATTCAAGAGTGTGGTTCAGAGTCCCTGCCTACCTCCTGAGTAAGAACTCAGCCCCATCCAAGGGATGTCCTATGTGACTCACTCACCCCCAACTCACAGCCACAGCATCCGAGGAAAGGATCTCACTGGGCGACAACACCAGCAGGTAACTGATGTTGACCAAGATGTACAGGCAGGTGACCATGGGAATGGCAATCATCAGAGCCCACACCAAGTTCTTCTGCAGAAACAGGGAAAAGAGGCCACATGGTCACCAATCAGGTCTTTCTCAGGCCCCCAAACCAATTTCAACAGCGTAATGCTCTCATCTTGGGCACAGAGCATCATGGCAGGCCTTGGCGGGCCATGCTAGCTAATTTCTTTTCATTCAAATCATGAACGTATGGCTCTGCCTGGGTTCAGATGCAGCCACTGGCAGCAAAGGTGGACCAGGGGAACAAAGTCTTGGGTTCTCCCTTCCGAGGGTCATGGGTGTCCTCAGTGAGGTGAGCACCTGCCAAGCATGACCCAGCCCCATGCCAAGTCACAGAGGAGGGACAGGGTATGCTTCGAGCTTGACTTTATCTTGGGCAGCCTACCCACTAGTTAATGAGCTGGGATATTACAGAGCTCTGTGTGCATCGAAGACAGGTTTCTGACCAAGGCATCAGAAGAACAGTGAATGCTGGGGATTTAAGTGGAGAACAAATGTTTTGAGAATGATGAGGGCAATGAATGTACAAATGCGCTTTACACAATTGATGTGTGTATGGATTGTGATAAGAGTTGTATGAGCCCCTAA